TTTTCGTTATTCCACAAATACTTTCAAAGCCAATCCTTGCCAAATCTGTGAAGATCCAAGTCATCTTGCTATTGACTGCTCAAATTGGATGAATCCTAATTTTCAGGGCTGAGTTCCACTAGCTAAACTTGCAATGTATACAAACACCAACACTTATTCTCCTCCATGGCTGGTTGACTCCGGCTCAAGTTCTCATATGACCAATAATCTTAACAATATCCAGAATCCACAACCATACAATGGTCCTGACAAAGTGTATATTGGAGATGGCCAAGGTTTGCCAATTCTCCACTCTGGTTCTACTTCACTTCATACACCTACTGCAACTTTTCATTTAAACAATATGTTGCATGTTCCACAATTAAAGCATGATCTACTTTATGCAAATATGTTTCTTCGGGACAATTTGTGTTCATTGACTCTAAATCCTTTTAACTTTAATGTCAAGGATCTTACTACGGGGATGATGCTTTTTAGAGCTCCTGTTCGTCATGGTCTCTATCCTTCTATGCATCTTCTCACTCTTCAACACCATATCATGCTTATACTGCAATCAAAGCTTCTCCTACTACTTGGCATCAACATTTGGGGCATCCCACGTTCAAGACTTTGCAATCTGTGCTCTTAAAGTTTGCCTTGCCTATTTCTAGTTCCCTTCAACAGTTTTTCTGTTCAAATTGTGTTTTAGGCAAATGTGCCAAGTTACCATTTCAGAATTCTATTTGTAATACATCTAGACCTTTAGAGTTGGTTTATGCAGATGTTTGGGGACCTGCTCCATTGCTTTCTGTAAGTAGCTATCGGTTTTATGTCATATTTGTTGATGACCTTACCAAATATACTTGGTTGTATCCCTTTAAGTACAAATCAGATGTATTTTAGGCTTTCATTGCTTTTCAAGCACTTGTTGAAAACTTTTCTGGCTATAAAATTGGAACCTTGAGATTTGATTCAAGGGGTGAGTTTCTCAATTCTGATTTCAAGCACCATCTTTTTGTTCATGGCATTCAACATTAATTAAGTTGTCCACATACACCCCAGCAGAATGGTTGTGTAGAAAGAAAGCTCATGCATGTTGTCGAAACTATCAAGACTCTTCTCATTGCTTCTAAGGTTCCACATCATTTTTGGGTAGAAGCTTTTCTCACTGCAGTTTACTTGATTAATAGACTACCTTCGGTGTCTAAATCTTCACTATGGGAACAATTCTTCAAAAAGTGTCCAGATTACTCTCAACTTAGAATTTTTGGTTGCAACTGTATCCCTTGGCTTAATCCTTATACTAAGTCAAAACTAGACCCTAAAAGCAAGCCATGTGTCCTCACTGGTTACAACCTCTCTCATAAAGGTTATAGATGCTTGGATCCCTCTATAAATTGAGTTTATGTATCTCAACATGTCTATTTTGATGAAGCACATTTCCTTTTCACAATTCAAACCTTTTTCAACAACAACAAACCACATGTTCCTCCTCACCTCATTATTTCCCATTTTCTCTCACCTTTCCGAAACTCTACTCTCTATCTCAGCATCTTCCATTTCACAATCTACCTCACTTTCTCAACCTCATACCACTGCTCCAAGTTCTCCCTCCCCTCCAAATTCAAACCCTGCACCTACACTCCTACCTGTTTCACCCATTCAAACCCTGCACCAAGTTCTCATACTCTACCAGAACCTACAACTACCATTGCACCAGCCTCATTATCCACAGTCTCTATTCACCATATGCAAGCTCGATCTAAATCAGGGATCTTTAAACCCAAAGCCTTTACAGTAACTAAACATCCACTCCCTCCTCACTTTGATACAGAATTTGTCCCTATCTACATATCTCCAAGCCTCCAAGTATTCACATGGAGAGCTGCAATGCAGGATGAATTTAATGCCCTCCAAAACACTAGAACCTAGAAACTTGTACCCTCTGATTCTACCTACAATATTGTTGGCTATAAGTGGGTTTTTCGAATCAAAAGAAAACCTGATGGATCTATGGACATGTACAAAGCTTGACTTGTTGCAAAAGGGTACAATCAGCAAGAAGACATTGACTACAATGACACTTTTAGCCCAGTGGCTAAACCAATAACTTTTAGAATTCTTCTCACTCTTGCAGTTGAATAAAACTAGTTTATGCATCAACTGGATGTAAGCAATGCATTCTTGCATGGCTTCTTGAAGGAAAATGTCTATATGTCTCAACCTTCTAGCTTCATTGATCAAGATCATCCCAATCATGTTTGTTATTTGCAAAAGTCTCTCTATGGCTTAAAGCAAGCCCCTCGAGCATGGTTTGAAAATCTTTAATCTGCATTACTACCTATGGGTTTTCAAGCCTCTCAATCTGATCACATCTTATTTGTTCTTAAATAACCTATCTTGGTCATCGTCTTAGTCTATGTAGATGATATAATAGTCACTGGACCCTCATCTACTGCGTGTGCTAATGTGATTACTCAACTTAGTGCTCAGTTTCCAGTTAAGGACTTGGGAGGTTTGCACTGTTTTCTTGGCTTGGAAGTTACTCGATCTGCTTTAGGAATTTTTCTTCATCAGTCCAAATATATTTTGGATCTTCGCAAATGAACTAAAATGGATGAAGCAAAACCTTGCATTACACCTCTTGGTTCTGCAAAATTGGATCTCATAGGTTCTCCATTAACCAACGCTGAAGAATATCGATCAATAGTTGGGGCACTTCAGTACCTCATTTGGACTTGACCAGATCTTTCACTTGCAGTGAACTTAGTGTGCCAGTTTATGCACTCTCCTCTAGAACCACATTTTAAGGCAGTTAAACGTATCTTCGATACCTTAAAGGCACTCTTGGACATAGTTTATGGTTCCCCAAAACTGCTTCACATCTCATACTTAAAGCATTCTTGGATGCTGATTGGGCAGGGTGTTCTTGGGATCGACATTCTACTGGTGGTTTTTACATATTCCTTGGTTCTTCCATCATTAGTTGGAGTGCCAAGAAGCAACACATTGTTGCTCGTTCATCCACAAAGGCTGAGTATAGGTCCCTTGCTCACACTGCTGCATAATTGACATGGATATGCAAACTGTTCATGGATATTAGATTTCAGTTGCCTTCTCTACCTCAAATTTGGTGTGACAACATTTCAGCCATTGCATTGGCTTCTAATCTTGTGTTCCATGCTCGTACCAAGCATGTCGAGATCGATTATCACTATATCCGAGAGCTAGTCCTTACCAAACTTCTCACGGTTCAGTTTGTGTGCAGCCAAGATCAAATTGCTAATATTCACACCAAATCTCTTCCCAGGCAACGATTTCTTCACCTTCGTACCAAGCTTTCACTTTAGCCTTCTCCGTTTAGCTTGAGGGGGTGCGAAGAGAAAGTTACCAAAGTAAATAGTAATGACCAGCTGTCAAAAGTTAGTTAAGAAAGTCACCTTTGTAATTTACCCTTTCTGTTTTGGTTTGTTATTCTTAGCTTTCCTATAAATACTCTTTGTAACTTAATCATTAAGAAATAAATGAAAACATTGCTCATTAAGTGTCTGTCTTGTTCCAACTTTCCAGATACATTTTATTATTTTGAGTACCAGATAAGTATTGGCGTAATTCTTACCTTCGTAGGCAAGAAAAGTTCCATTTTCTTGGTATTTCCGATGTAATTGACACTAAGAAGGTAAAAATCATCAGTCCCTAATGCATTAACAAGAGAAGTTTGGAAAATCATCGATGCACTGTAATTCTCTTATCCATCATCTGAAGCAAAACATCGATATATGCTCGAGACTCGAGCAGAAGGCACTGGTTTTCCTTCATTTCTCTCCCAAACAAGGACAAACAAGATACTCCTAACCTATTTATTAAGCATTGACATTTGCTAGAAACCACCTCGAACATAGAAAGGCAAACTAAAGAAGTGCATAGAGTTACCACACTATTCTTTCATCTTGTATTCGTTCATGTTTCTTTTAGTTAAAGATTGTAGTGGATCAAGTTTCAAAGGTACCACCTTTCCAACATATGTTAAACAGTTAGGTTTATGTAACCTGCTCAACTTTGGTTCCTAAACTTGTAAATTTGCAAGTCCTACATCTGTATACAAATGAGTAATGTCCAGTCCATTATTGCTCATTTGTATTTGCCTGACCATTTGCAAATTCCAACCAAATGGATTCTTATTCGTCTCAAGTTTCAAACTATAGGTATGTGTTTGATGAAGAGGTCACCTGAAGTCGAGTGATGAATGCTTAAACCCGAATGGGCGGGGTTTTTTCATAGTCATAACCTGCACGAATCCAACTCAACATTAGCTTGATCATTTTTTGTGTTGACTCTTTGCATGACCATACCCAACCAAACCAAACCGAACACAACTCGATCGTAGCCCAAATTAATTGATGCACATGTTAAATCCAAGTCCAACAGCCAACACCCTTCATAATATCATTTAAGCTTTGTATGAATTAAGAGCTTTTATAGTTAGCCTGAAGTTGATTCTCGGATACTTATTACCATTTCATGTGGCAAGTAATGTATAGTATTAGGGATGACAACGTGCAGATTGGGTTGTGATGTGCCACATTCCCATAACATAATCTGTTTATTTTCCTAGAACCAAAAACCTTTTCAAATGAAAACAAGGTGGTTTCGAATACGAGTTTCAAATAGATACCCCAGTAATCATAACCTAATCAAAACCGGACAATTTACTCGACGATTACCCATAATTGCAAAATACTCAAAAATTGATCCTCGAAACCAAACTATTAGGTTATGTGGGGATCAGATTTAACGAGTTAAATTGTCATTGCCACATACAACTAGTATTTAATAAGATAAATACATTAATTAACGTGTCATATACACATTATTTGTTATGTCATGTACACATTATTTGTTAGGTCAAATGATACTCAAATACGATACAAAAGAGTAATTTCCTTGATTAAATACATTACCCTTAGTATCCCAATCCTAATTTAATTGAACGCATTCGAACTCCGCCGTTGGTCTGCTGAAGCTCGAGCAGCCCAAGGGAATTCAATTCAATTCAAATACTGAACTCTGTTTCCGCTTTTTTCACTGTCAGAAGGAGAAGCAATGGACTCAACATTGAATTTCATAGCCTCTGCAGTTACATTCTCGCCAATCACATCCATCGCCAGGCCTTCTCTCTCACCTCACAACCTCTCTTTCCATTCCTGCCATGCCCAATTCCCTTTATTCCAAACAAGTCCTCTACCCTCCGCGCCCGCAAGCCGAACTCAGAGCCCGAGCCACTTCTCAAACCCACCATTATTGATGAAGTTTCAGAGGACGACGAAGACGACAACGTTATCTGGGACGACGACGATGGTACTTCTGTAAATTCACCTGTTTCCTCTTTTTATCTATCATTTTATTTGTGTGGATAATATGGCAATTGCTTTAGGGTTCTGGAATTTGAATGTTTCTTTGTAATGCTGTTTTGGTGCTTGTAAAGTAGTTAAGGAGATAATGGTGGATTATGCTTTGATGGGTAGCTGTAAAATCTAAGCAATGGCAAAAATTCCCATGCTTTACTTATATTTTTATTATCCGAAAATTCGGCCACAACTGTTAATGTTTTGCGTGTGTTCTTAATCATATAGACGCATTAATGGATGATGAGGGTGATGATTATTACGAAGAGGATGAGTTTGTGGCGGATGCTGCTGAGCACTACGTAAGTTGTGTGTATGAGTTAGTGGCAGTGCACTGTAATCTTAGGGATTGATCGTATCTAACAACCTTTTGCTTGTGTATCAAGGCTGGAGATGGAGGCGGAGGTGGTGGAATTTCTCTTGCTGGGACTTGGTGGGATGACAAAGCACTAGAAATAGCTGAAGAAGTTATTCTGTCCCTTGATGGCGACTTGAAAATTTATGCATTTAAAACGTTGCCAAATTTCAACATTCAAGTGCGCATTGAGAGGCTTTCGAATAAGTAAGCATCGGACCAAAACTAAATGTTACTGGTAAATAGTAATGGAGATACTTGTTAACCTACAATGTATAGGATATTAGTATGTGATGCATATTGCATGCTTGCCATGTGTAAGAGCGTATCTTGACAATTCCAGATTGCAATCAAGGAGTTGATTGATGTACATGCTGAGTATGTCAAAATTATGTTTGATGTTGTAGGTTTTATGGAAATGGTGTTACCTTGAGTAAACAGTTCTCTATTTTTATTTGCCAATGTCTTCAGAGTTCTTCATGTTCCTTTGTTGTAACAACTCGTCATGACTATTCTTCTGTTTGCATCTAATTTCCAATCATCTTCAATATAGCTGGAAATGGCGATGAATTTAATCAAACCATGTCATTTGTTTTTGCTTGTGGTTTGAAAAATAGCTATTAGATGATGGTGCTGGATAATTCTGGATCCTTTGCATTATAAGTTAAATGGTAAATGTCTGATTTGTCGTTTTAATTCTTGTTCTTTTGCTAAAGGTTTCATCTGAAATTATCATTTTTTTGAATCGTCCATTTGGATGTGGGACTTTAAGTTCCTTGGAAGTTATGCTAAATTTGTTAGGAATGCACTACAAAAGTTAGATAGAGCGACTATGACTAGAAGCAATACATTTAAGAGAATTTTGAAAGGTGTCATTTGAAAGTACTTTGTTTAGTGTCTTTGTAGTGTTTTGTAGGATGCTTGAGTAGTTCTTTGGTACCATTCTTGTAGTTCATTTTTAACAATCGAGTCTAAAATCCTTGGTACTTGAATGTCCCTTCTCCAAACATAGCATAAAGATTTGATGGATGCAAATTTAAAGGTGGAAAAATTGACCTAAAAAGATAAGCTATTAGGAGAAGGGATAACAAAGCATATCAAGCACAACTTAACTGCACACACTAACACTTCCTCTCATGTGTAGGGTGTCTACAGAAACTTAACCAAACTGGACCTTACATGTGCACAATAGAAGTTACCAGAACCAAGACTCGAGCCATGACTCAATAACATGTCTCTGCAACTATGTTAACTTGCCACTATCGCGGAAAAGCTTAAGGTACTATATGACACATTGACACTACCAAAAAGCAACATAAAAAACAGGTTTACTTGCCAATTTAAGTTTTCAACAGCCAGGAACAAGTGGAGTCTGGGTAAGATTTGTATTGTTACCAGTAAAACACTTGAATACTTCTCATGCAATAAGAATTAGGGATTACTGAAATCTTTGTAGGCCGTAATCAGACCGGTTCATCTAATATCTAATGCGGGTGTGATAAAGTACCGGTATTGGTTGAATTTCAGTTCCCAACTATTCTCATTTGTATTTGTTTTTCCATTTTCTTGTTAGTAGACAAAGCAAATCTGTCTGTTAATCTCCACAAATTGTGTAAGCTGTCGTATGAATGCCTTTTGAGCTCAAACCACATGGATTTACTACAGATCCGGCTCCCCGAGTATGGAAGATATTGAGGCTTTTTCTAGAGCCTATAGGGCAAAACTGGATGAAGCAGAGGTTGCTAAATCACTTCCTGAGAATTTATCTCTTGAGGTATACTTCTATTTCTCTCTCTTGACTTTCTTATTACCCTTTTCTTGGTTTTTATTCTTTGGCTTGTCATTTTTCTATGTTAAGTGGTTGGGAAGACATACATTACAGATTTCTCGGCATAAAACCGTAAGTAAAGGCTTGCGCTTGGTTGTCTAGGTTTTTACCATGGATTAAGCTGTAAAGCTGAAACTTCTGAAATTTTTACTCCCTCATTGTTTGTGTTTTTATCTCGTGGTTCTAATGACATATGTTTTTGCTTTCAGGTGTCATCTCCAGGCGTTGAAAGGGTAGTTCGGGTTCCACATGAGTTGGATCGGTTCAAAGAACGACCTATGTATGTGAAATTTGTCAGTGAGACAGCTGAAACCGGTGCTCTGTCGGAAAGTGACGGTGTTTTCAGGCTTGTTTCTTTCGATGTGGAAACAAAAAGTTGCGTTTGGGGTTTAGCAGATGTAAGGATTAATAGAGAAAAGGCAGGAAAAGGAAGACCACTCAGCAAAAAGCAGCGGCAGTGGCAATTGAACACACCATTTGATTCCTTAGTTTTGGTTCGATTGTACTCTGACATTTGATAATTCTTTCTGTAAATTACTTTCTGACTCAACAAACGTTGATGTAGTGCAAATGTGCAATCGATAACGAATTCGAGTTTCTAACACGCCTCTTCTCTCGATTGACTCGATGGTTAACCATGGTCCGTAATTCTATTGACACTAGGAAATATAGGGAGTAAGAACCCTAGAAAATGGCGACAGGCCCCTGCCCGCCTAGAAGATTAGGCATTGGGCTCTTGCCGCTGTCTGACTAGCGCCTTTTAGAACCTTGCTAGTAATGCATTGATTATTCTGGAGATACGAGAAGAGGGACAAAGCTCCATGCTGTCAATAAATAAGAGGGTGTCTATAAAATTACCAAAATTCCAACAAGCACGAACAGAAATCCTCATTAAATATATCAAACTTCAACATTCACACATCTCACTCTACTAGATTTTACAAGTAAACATGTCATTAGCGTACTTAGGTTAGGTGTTGTTGGAAGCAGCAGCTTTGTCGAGAATGTCGAAAACCTTTTGAAGGGTCACGTCCTCCACAATAACAACCTTGTCTCTTGATTTGGAGCCCGACCCGATCGAAACCTGCCGTCTTTTTACCCCTAAAACCGAGCTCATGTACTCGACCAGTGCCGCATTCGCCTCCCCGTCCTTGGGCGGCGCGTCGATTTGCACCCCCAACGCCTCGTCGCTGAAATCCGTGATGGCGGCGATTTTGGAGCCGGGCTTGGCGTGGATGGTGATGGCCACCGACGACGGAGGTACCGACCGAATACAGGCCGGGAAGTTGTTGTTGTCGGACTCAGTTGGCTCCGCAGGGCTCGCCGACTTCGCCTTGGCCTTGCCTTTCTTGCCCGGTGCCATTTTTACTTTTCTTTTTTTTCTTCTGTATTCGCATTGGCCCTTTATAAAGGTTCAAAACAGTTTTAATCCTGTAGTCCCTGTATAGAGACCTATAGCTTTGATTTAGATTCAAGTTATTTTTATTATAATGCTCTTTCTTCTTGTTTAATTAGTTTTATTTGCAGGGTCTAAATTTATTATTGAGTATGTTTGTCTCGGTTTTTGCTTTTTATCTTATTTTTTGACTTATATTTCTTTTTTTCGTTCAAGGTAATTTATATCGAATAGCGTTTGTAGATTGTCACTTAGTTGCAGTACAATGACATTTAAGTTTTGTTTTAGAAGAGTTTTTGTCCTATGTCCTCACCTTTTGTATTCTTTTTCTTTATGTTTCAGGAGGGGTGTTCTCCCTTCTCCTTTTTGGTACCCGTTAACTTATGAGGGGTATAAGAAAGTCCATCCTACTAAGGCAATAATTGCCCCATCAATTGAGAAAAGGCAATTATTGGCTTGGTAAATAGTAAAGGCCTGAGTGCATATTTACTTTGTAAATGAATTGCTGGGGCAATTGACATTAGAAAATTATTTTTTAAAAATTAATATTATGCTTAATTTCAAATAGAACTTTTAACTAATCTCGTTATGCTACGTATTATTATCTGCAATTACAATCTCGTTTTGTCACGCCATAGTTTATATTATCTTTTTTGTCACTTCTATGTATTTTTATAATTTTATAATTTTTTTTCTAATTTAATTAATATGGATGGTTGGATTACATTTTATTTTTTATTTTTATTTTTTAACAATCCAACAATCCATATAGTCCACATTGCCCCAATAGTAAAAATGTAATTTTTTAGATTGTTTTTGTTGAAAAAATTTGGACAGTAGGATAGCTAACCATTAGAAACCTAATGGTTGTTGGGTAAGTGTGCCTGCAGTGCGGGCCCCAGCGTCTGGGTTTTGGTCGGCTGACACGCCATCATATGTGCGCTTGACACCAAAAATATATATAATGTATCTGATGTTAGGCTGGGCGTCAACCTAAAGTCACATGGCCTCAGATGCTCACTTGAGCTATCCTTGGATAATTGTTCAATCCGTTTGTCTTGGGCACACGTGTGGCCCGACTGATTGAGTTGGGGTGGTGAGGATTGTTGGGGTTTTGGGGGATTCAATTGCCCAATTTTTCAAGGTAATTGTGTAGTGGGTGGGCTTGCTCTAAGGTTTTTGTCCTTCCTTGATTAAGTGTAACTTTTTTAATAAATTTCTCTCATATCGCTGAAGTTAAAAAAAAACTCAAAACCACAAAACAAACTTATAACAATGACGCAAAATTTTATCGAGAATTACACAAATTTCTCCAAAGCTATTTCTTGTTTGCTTACAATTACATTAAATTCATTTAAACCACGAAGAGTTTTTATAAACAGAAGTTAGTTTAAATGAAGAAGATTGCACAAGTTAAGTAAGGCTTGTTTTAGTGAACAAAAGTTGGGCTCCTAGAGGGAGCGGTTAGTTGGGCCCACTGACATTCTCTTTGGCGCGCTCTTTTGTCATACCATACAATTTTGGAGCCAACACCAAACGATGCGCACCGAGACTGGAGCCAACACCAAACGATGCGCACCCGTCTCGGTTAAGGCTGGCACCAGTACGTCATGAGTCAATGCGTCTCAGACCTCCTTCCTCCAAAACCTTACACTTCTTCCAACGAAAGCACAGCCTCTCTACTATTCCGTCCGAGTCGGTCTACCAAGATGGAGCATCTGAGTCCTATTACACCCATCTCTTGCAGATATGTCTACAACAATGCAAGTATATTCAGACCCGTAAGGTGTTCGACGAAATGCCTGACAGGTTGCTGGCTCGTGCTTCCAGGACCTGCAAGGCTGTCCACGCCCGCAGCTTGACATTTGGGATTGAATCCAAAGGGCTTCTGAGAAATGCCATTCTGGTTTTTATGCCAAGTGCGGTAATGTGGATTTTGCCAAGAAAGCATTTGACTGCCTTGAAAACAAGGCTGTGTTTGCTTGGAACTCAGTTTTGTCAATGTATTCGAGTAAGGGATTGCTGAAACAGGTTGTTAAGTCATTTGGGTCGATGTGGAATGGCAGGGTAATGCCAAACGAGTTCACTTTCGCAATGGTTTTGTCTAGTTGTGCAAGATTGGTTGATGTTGAATACGGTAGGCAAGTTCATTGTGGTGTTATTAAGATGGGGTTTGAGTTGAGTTCATTTTGTGAAGGTGCACTCATTGATGTGTATGCCAAGTGCAATTGTATAAGTGATGCACGACGGGTATTTGATAGTGTGTTGAAGTTGGATACAGTTGCTTGGACAACAATGATTTCAGGGTATGCTCAAGCTGGATTACTCGAGGAGGCACTTGAAGTGTTTAAGGAGATGCAAAAAGTTGGTGGTTTTCTGGACCAGGTGGGATTCATGACCGTCATAAATGCATGTGTTGGTCTAGGAAGGCTAGATGACGCATGTGAGTTGTTTTCCCAGATGCCAGTCCTAATGTTGTAGCATGGAATGTGATGATTTCTGGGCATGCCAAGAGAGGCAATGAGGAGAAAGCTGTTAACTTTTTCTTGAGAATGAGGAAATCTGGCAAAAAACCGACAAGATCCACACTAGGAAGTGTTTTGAGCGCAATTGCTAGTTTGGCTGCTCTAGACTATGGCTTGCTAGTTCACAATATGGCAGTAAAACTGGGGTTAGAGTCTAACGTTTATGTGGGAAGTTCCTTAATCAATATGTATGCCAAGTGTGAAAAGATGAATTTGTCAAAGAAAATATTTGATTATCTACCAGAGAAAAATGTTGTCTTGTGGAATATGATGCTTGGGGGTTATGCCCAAAATGGGTATGCCAGTGAAGTTATAGAATTTTTTACCATTATGAAGGGGTTTGTTAGTTGCATTCACATATCATCAAGAATAAACTTGCATCAAATTTATACGTGGGAAATGCATTGGTTGATATGTATGCTAAATCAGGGGATCTGAAGAAAGCAAGGAAACAATTTGAGCTCATAAGAAATCGAGACAATATATCATGGAATGCAATTATTGTTGGATACGTACAAGAAGAAGATGAAAACGAGGCTTTTAATATGTTCCGAAGAATGAATTTGCATGGAATTGTGCCTGATGAAGTCTCATTGGCAAGTATACTAAGTGCGTGTGCAAATGTTCAAGCACTAAAGATGGGACAACAAGTCCACGGTCTCTCAGTTAAAAATGGGCTGGAAACAAGCCTTTATTCTGGGAGCTCCCTTATTGACATGTATTCTAAATGTGGGGTCATTGGCAATGCATGTAAAGCTCTCTATTATATGCCCCACTGGAGCATGGTATCTGTGAATGCTCTAATTACTGGTTTTGGCTATAGCAACTTGGCAGAAGCTGTTAATTTGCTTCATGAGATGCAGAGATAGGATTGAACCCAACTGAAATTACTTTTTCAGTCCTTCTAGATGCATGTAGTGGACCTCTCATGTTAACTCTGGGAAGGCAAATCCACTGCATAGTACTAAAGAAAGGCCTTTTGTGTGATGTTGACTTTTTGGGTGTCTCTCTCTTAGGTATGTACATGAATTCCCAAAGCAAAGTAGATGCAACAGTTCTTTTCTCGGAGTTCCCAAAGCCAAAAAGCAAAGTATTATGGACCGCTATGATCTTAGGACTCGGTCAAAATGATTGCAGTGAGGAGGCGCTACAGTTGTATCAAGAGATGCGTAGCCATAATGCTCTACCCAACCAAGCAACATTTGCTAGTGTTCTTCGAGCATGTGCTGTCATTTCTTCTTTGAACAATGGTAGAGAGATCCATTCCCTCATTTTTCATACCGGTTTTGATCTGGACAAGTTAACTTGTAGTGCCCTCGTAGACATGTATTCTAAATGTGGGGATGTGGGTAGTTCTGTGCATGTTTTAAAGAAATGGGTACTAAAAATAGTGTCATTTCTTGGAACTCAATGATAGTTGGGTTTGCTAAAAATGGTTATGCAGAAGATGCATTGAAGATCTTTGATGGGATGAGACACTTTCATGTTTTTCCTGATGATGTCACATTCCTAGGTGTTCTCACTGCATGTAGTCATGCAAGGAAGGTAGCTGAAGGCCAACAAATGTATGATTCTATGGTTAATAAGTATAGTATCCAACCCAGGGTCGATCATGTTGCCTGCATGGTTGATCTTCTAGGCCGTTGGGGATTTCTTAAAGAAGCAGAGGATTTGTTGACAGACTAGATTCTGACCCAAATGCTATGACTTGGGCCACATTACTTGGTGCTTGCAGATTACATGGAGATTACATAAGGGGACATCGTGCGGCTGAGAAACTCATTGAGTTAGAACCACAAAATTCTTCAACATATGTGCTGCTTTCTAATATACATGCTGCATCAGGAAACTGGGATGAGGGCTAGCTCTTTGAGGAGAGAAATGAAAGAAAAGGAATTGACGAAGGTTCCTGGTTGTAGTTGGATTGTAGTGGGACAGACAACAAATTTGTTTGTTGCTGGTGATAAGTCTCATCCTAATGCTGGTGAAATCATTGCGGCTTTAAAGTATTTGACAGCAGTAATGAAAGAAGAGGGCTATGTTGATGAGACAGATTCTTTCTTGAATGAAGAAGAGTGAGAGATGCTCCTATCCCTATGGTATTGAGGCCAATTGCATATTGTAACACTATGCATGAACATCCCAAGGCCTCTCCCTTTGCAAGACTGTGAAACCCGAATTAATATCTCAGTAGTATTCTTTAACTTTGTGAGAGAGATGCTAACCAGGGTCAGACGTCATGCAGGGTATGTTGATGCCAATGTCAGTGCCTGGAGGAACTTTGGTTTACTATTTTGTTGAAGCCGAAACAGACACTGACAAGGAAGCCTCTTGCACTTTGTCTCAAACATATACTGAAAAGGAAGCCCCTAACTTTGTCTCTTTGGTCGTTGGTTCCTCTTGGTCCTCTGCAATGGAATCCAGTGAACATATCTTGTAATAGTGAGCCTTTTCATGTTTCTTAAAAAAAATTTGAGGTTTAAATTTATAGGTTCCTTATTTTTTTGTTTAATATTTTATGAAGCTGCTGCTTTGTATTTGTTTTGGTGTTTCTTCTTTGTCTTCTTTGCCATATTGACGATTCACGTTATCATTTTTTACTTTTGATAATTTTGTTGCTCAATGCTTCAGAGATGTAGCGACCTTGTGGCTTTAAAATTTTGCCGTGAAATTTGAATAGTAATGTCTTTGGGCATGAAATATGTTCCTACTAAGTGCCATGAATGGAAATAAATTCATCTATAGCATGTTAAAAGGGAAAACTGGGTTTAGATGAGCAAATTCTCATTCATAGTAGTGTCAGATTGTACAATTCAGACGTGCACCAAAGCTTGCTTGTCTTAATGATGACTTCTGCTCAGTATTGGCAATAGTTATATGCTGCCAACTTTTTTTCCAGTATTTTGTTGTCTTCTGCTGCATTTGGTTTCATGTAATCCTATATGATCATGCTAAACCAGTAAAACAATTTAAATTAGAACTGTTTTAAGTGAAAGCAGGTCACTCTTGAAATGTCATCCACTTTGAATTTATAGTTTGTAGATAGGGTACTTTATATAAATGCTTTTACATCCAGAATGAAATTACCCTTGAGGCTGTTAGTTTTAAGAAATTGCTGCATTTGTATTATTCACAGGCAGGCTCATCCGCAACAAATAGTATTTTATTGTTACTTTTGTGCTCAGGTCCAGATTGCTGCTGTATTTATGGAGATGACTTTTAAAGATATGAGATCAGCTGTCTTGTTTCTTTTTGTAAAGATGACAGCTTCCTTGGATTGAAATGGATTACTCATTTGATATGCGTGAAGTGTGTACAAATAACTAGTGAAACTAAGTCACTGTGAAATGTGTCTTTGTAATGCTGTTTTGGTGTGTGTAAAGTTGTTAAGAATAATGCTTGACCATTATGCTTTGATGGATGTTGGATAGTTATAAATCTAAGCAATGAGAATGATTATCATGTTTCACTCATATTTTATTATCGACAGTTTGGCCACAAAAGTTTCATGCTTGCGAGTGATCGTTGTTATGAAGATGAGTCTGTGTCAGATGATGCAGATCTCTATGTTAGTTATGTGCATGTAAGTTTAGGGTGCATGAATTTTTGGCGGCGTGGTGTAATCATAGAGATGTACCCTAACAACCTTTTGCTTGTGTTGTAAGGATGGATGTGGAGTTGGAGGATGTGGGATTTTTCTTGCCAAGGCATGGTGGGACAACAAAGGTTATAAAAACTGAAGAAATTATTCTGTCCTTTGATGACGAGTTGAAAAGGTAAGCATTTGAAACGTTGCCAAATTTCACCATTTAACTGCATATTGAGAAGTTATTTGATAGGTAAGCATCTAACCAAAACTAAATGTGAGTAAGAATGGTCACGGCTTGTTGATTTTCAATGTTTTCCATGTGTAAGACTGTGTCTCAAAAATTTTAGAGAGCAATCAATGAGCTGATTGATTTACTTGCTGGTTCTGTCAAAGTTATGTTTCATGGGTTGCAGGTTTTATGGAAATGTTGTTACTGTTAAACAGACATCTATGGTTTGCATGCAAAGATGTCTATAGAGTTCTGCCTTCTCAATGGGGATGGTTTTCGTGTATATTGTAATAACTCTTCATGACTAATCTTCTATATGTAGCTATTAGATGATCTGAAAATTCTTAGAGGGGGCAGTACATCCAAAAAGGTTAAGCTATTGAGAGAAATGATGCATATAAAGCACAACTTAACTGCTCACACTAACACTTCCTCTCAGGTATGGAATCTCCACAGAAACTTAACAAAACTGAGCTGTGCACGTGCAATTGATCTGAAATTTTTCAAGCTCATTAACGTTGGTTTTATTTTGGTTTTGTAGCCTCAGTTTTGAGAGTATGGTGATGCATTGTGTTTTCTGAGAGAAACCATGGTTAGAAAGGATGGCTCCACACTTGGTGAGATCAAAATGCCTAAGGGTCTCATGCTTTTGTGAGAGTGCTCTAATCAGGCGCGTGGTTAGGTTGCACAACCCGAGTTTTCTCCTGTATTTCATGCTCCCCAGTGGTAGCCATACAAACTCCACAAACTGCTCCTTGATACTGATCTTTACCTACTTGAGCTCTTATTTTCCAAATTTCATGATTAATGCATGGCCGTTATTAATTTATTAGGAGAAAGTGATGTAGATTGGTTACATATAGTCCAATATTTATGTTATTTTTCTTTTAATTCTTTGTTCGAGATCCAGTTGGTCCTGCTTTCCAGTTTTATGCCCGTTTGTGTTTGAAATGGCAAATAGAGAGGAAGGAGATATCTCAATGATTTGATCCTAAACCCCAATTAAACAAAGGCAGTTACTATTTCAAATTCAAGTAAAATGCTTTCCTTATTTTGCCAAAAAAAGCACTCCCGAAGGCTCATGGAGGGATGGGTTTTAGAAGCTTTATGGATTTTAATGATGCCCTATTAGCAAAACAATGCTGGCGTTTGATTCAGGAACTAGAGTCCCTGTGGGCGAGGGTGTTGTAGGCTCGTTACTTCCCTCATTGTTCATTTTTGAATGCAAAAGGGGAAGGTCGGGCTTATTGGGTATGATCGAATTTGTTAAGGGGTAGAGATATTCTGCTTAAAGGGTCCCACTGGCAGGTGATGTGTAAGATCCCATATTTTTAGTTGTATTTGTGGCTATTAATTTTTTTATTTTATTTTTTATATTTAGAATGAAGCTTAGATAAGTTTTTACATAGTGCATCATGTGTGATGCATGTAGCTATGCATATTTACACCTCACCATTACCATGACTAGGTTTTGAGTTGGAAGGATTAAGGTGGAGGTGTCATTAGTTTGCATTTATAGGACAAGTGTCTTGAAATTCATGTTTTTATTAGTAGGAGCTATCATTTAAAAATCATGCAAGCAAGAGGTGGAACCTTAATGTTAGAATGAAGGCAAAAGGTGTTCTTTTCATTAGTCTAGCTAGATTGCTTACTGTTGGAAGCTATATTCGAACGTGGCACACCACAGTTTATGGTAATCTCCTTGTATATTTGCTTAGTGAGCACTCTACACAGTGACTATGTGAAGCTACTTAGTTGGACGTGTCTTATCTTCTATTTCCACCTGTTATTGGCCAACCACTTGTCTAAGTCTACTGCCTATTTAGATTACCACGCAGCAGCTTGTAAGAGAAGGTCAATTGATTTGTTATATCTCTAGCCGCTAAGCCAACCAATAAGAAGTTAGCTTGACCTCCTCATTTCTAGTATAAATAGGAGGCCATGCTCCATTGTTTTCGCATATCAAGGAAACATGCAGAACATGCATCGAAGGTTCAACGTAGAGAAAGGGACTGAGGGTAAAGAGAGAAAGAAATAGGATTTAGGGTTTGTTGTGTGGAGGTTCTTTGTGTACTTGTCTTGCCAAGGTTCTAGTTATCGATCAATGTGAGTGGTTTATGTAATGTGTTTCAAAGTATTCTTATTTTCTGATAAATGAAAACCACGAACTATTGTGGGTTTTTATCTATTTATAAATCTCTATCTATTTTAAGTTAAGCATGTTGGATTTGTTGAAATGCTTTTGGAATTATTAATATGGTGATAAGTGGATTATTTGGATATGTTCATGGAGTATGAGAACTTTAGTGTTGCATAAATCCGAGGGATAAATGTAAAATGCACACGGGGACATTAGGGCAAATGACCATTAGGGGTCACGTGGTGAGTTGCAATTTATGAAGGATATAATGAACACGTGAAGGGATGATGTGATATGACATTATGTGTATAATGATTTGATATTATTATCCTATTTTATAGTGTGATTAAAATGGCAAGCTTGACTGGCATATTATATATTATACTCACTGAGCGATGATGGTTGTTGCTTACCCTTCACCTATTATTTTACAGATGAGTTATTTGGCAAGACAGATGTTATTTGGCAAGACAAGTATTGGAAGAGTTGAGGTTGTGATTGAGGAGAAGTTTAAGGATTTTTAATTTATTATTTTTGTACACCCTATAAGGATTTTGGAGTTATTTTAATAGAGGAGTTTATTTTCCAATCCGTTCCAATTTCTTTTAATTATGTAGCTTTTCACTCATGTTTCAGATTCGGGTTTGAGTTTTTATTACCGATCCCGGGTTCAGGGCGTGACATGACGAGTGGCAATCGAATTTGGATGGTTGCCCTCATTTCCGAATGGTCACCTTATTCCTTCTGGGGAGGTGCAGGTTAGCCGTAATACCACAGTGGATTCCCTTATTAATCCAGCCATTGGGGATTAGAATATTGACTTTGTTCGACCGTTTATCTCATTTGAGGAGGTTGATGCTATTTTGGCAACTCCACTTGGTGATTCCATGATAAGGACAGATTGGTGTGGCCTTTTGTTCAGAATGAGGTTTATTCTGTCAAGTCTAAATATCATTGCCAGTGCTCTCAGGTCACTTATACGCTCCCTGGAGCTCTTCTTCGGCTGTATCTATCCCAACGTTATTATGGAAGTGGGTGTGGCAGCTTAATATTCCTCCCAAACCAAGGTGTTTCATATGGAAGACTTTGCATCGTACCCTGCTCACAATGGAAGCTCTTTATAACTAGAAATCAGAGCCTTCATCGATTTTCCCTTTATGTCATGCTCATGAAGAGTTCATTGAACACTTATTTCTCCTCTGCCCGTGGGTGGAAGCTATTTGGTTAGGGGGTGCTTTAACATATCGGGTTAACAAGCAGGATATTACATCATGGGGAAATTGGCTTATGGCAGTAAGGCAAGCTAATGTTCCCTCGAAGGCTAATTTCAAGCGGGTTCTGTCTCTCATTGCCTTCTCTTGTTGGCATAGTTGGAAAGCAAGGTGTAGTTTTCTCTTCCAACATAAATCTATCAATCTAATCCAGGTATTATCTGTTATTTCCACACATGTTGCTGCTTTCATTGATGCCATGCAGGCTTCCTCCATTCGCACTGTGCAGCCGCAATCCTGTAGTGCGGTTTAGGTTTGTTGGATGCCACCGAATATTCCCTTTGTCAAAATAAATGTTGATGCAAGTTGGGATGTTGCCATGGGTGGTGGTTATGTAGGAGTAGTGTTTTTGGGTCCTTCTGGCAATTTCTTGGCTGCTCGTAGAAAGATGATAGGTGCGACTTCTGTTGCTAGTGCTGAAGCGTTGGCCTTGAAGTATGGTTGTGAGTTGGGTCTCTTGATGGGTCTGACCCATGTTGTTGTTGAATCTGATTCTCAAGCAATCATTTTATGTTTGCGGGGAACAATCTCTGATAGCAGATGAGAGGTTTTCCTATTTTAGCAAAGTGTTTGAAGCTTGAGGAAGCCTTTCAGGACTATCATTGGTCTTGGATTTCAAGATCATCCAATTTGGCGGCTGACCATTTGGCGTCACGTCGTTGTATGGAGATGTGTAATGTGTCTTGGGTTGATCGACCCCCATCCTCGCTAGTGCATGTACTAAATCATGATGGTTTACCTTGCCCGCCTAATTTTATGTTGGGGGTGCAAGGGGGGACACTTAGAGCTTTGGCTTCGAGTGCCGGGTTTTCTACCCTCTTGTACTTCCTGTCTGTTTTTTGGTTGTTTGCTTGTTGTTTGGCTTTTGTTGTCCTCTTTGGCATCTTTTACCCTGGTTAATACATTTCCAGTTTCCTAAAAGAAAAAAAAAGAAAGAAAAATCCATTGCCTACTTTTCTTTTGATGTCATTTTTCTTGGAAAAGGGATCCTCTCCGAATCTCTTCCACCTAATTCACCAAGCCTAGTAATCTAGACTGTTGAAATTTGATCCAACGATTAAAGTTATTATAACTTTGGGTAAAGTACAAAAAACTACCTCAATTATTGGTGTCACGACACTTTCATACCTCATCTTTTAAAATTGACAATGTTGTACCTCATCTTACGAATTTGTGCCAATATCAGACCTCCGTCAGTTTTTCTGTTAAATACTGATGTGGCCAGAAACGGGACCCATTTTTATTAAAAAAATAATTAAATATTTAAAAATTAAAAAAAAACAATAAACAATAAACCAAAAAAAACCCATCAACCCGTGTCCCCTCTCCCTAAAAACCCAGATCCCCTTCTCTGAGTTTTCCCCCACCCAACCCTCTATCTCATCTCTCTCTCTCTCTCTTTCTCTTTCTCTCGTCTCTCTCGCCTCTCTCGCTTATCTCTCCCTGCAACCTGCATCCCTAAAATCCCAAAACCTAGAAACCATTCCCACTCGAGTCATCACTGCCGGCGAGCTCTCAATCCTCTGAGCCGACGATCACCGATTAAGCCCAAACCCTTCCTTGCCACTCCTGCTGGCTTTGAAGCTCTCTTTCTAGCACCACAGGTGCTTCTGGTTCCTCCACTTCAAAAACCACGACAAGTTGAAATTGTGCAGAAGCTTCACCCTTTTAGAGCCCATCACCATGGACTTCACCTTCACTTTCTCCTCCTCATCCGACCTGCCTATATACACCATTTATCTGAAATTCAGACCAAATAGAGCCACTCTCAAATCACAACTCTCTCTCTCTCTGTTTCTCGCACCTCCTCTGATTTTCTCGGAAAATCTAGGAATTTTCTGGAAAAATGGAGAGTTTTTCTATTGGGATTGTTGTTTTTGTTGTTGTTATTGTTTTGTTTTTCTCTTGCAAATCGACAAAGGGGCAGGCTCCGAGGGCGAGGACGAGAAAGGAATGTTGTTGTGGAGGTTGTGGCTAGAGTTAGGGTTTGGGGGTGATTGGGGGTTATGGCTATCATCGCTGGAGTCAACGACAGAGATAGGGTTGTCGTCGGTGGGATCGGAGAGAAAGGTTGGGGGGGACGGGTGGGAAGGATTTCTGGGTTTCGAGATTTTAGGGATGTATGTTGCAAGGAGAGAGACGAGAGACAGGTGAGAGAGAGAGAGAGAGAAAGGAGGAGAGAGAAAGGGTTGGGTAAAAGAGAACTCAGATAAAGGGATATGGGTTTTTTGGGGAGGGAGGACACGGGTTGATGGGTTTTTTTCGGTTTTTTGTTTTTGTTTTTTTTATTTTAAATTTTAATATTTAATTATTTTTTTAATAAAAAATAGGTCCTGTCTCTGGCCACGTCAGCATTTAACAGAAAAAGTAACAGAAAAACTGACAAAGGTCTGACATTGGCACAAATTTGTAAGATAAGGTATGACATTGTCAATTTTAAAAGAGGAGGTATGAAAGTGTCGTGACACTAATAGTTGAGCTA